TACATATTTCCTTAAAGGAGGAGGCTGTCCCCTTCGAACCAGGGCCATGTGGGTATGTCATAGGCCACCTAGGTATGTATTAGGTGCTTGCTTTTATATCCATCTTGGCATTGATAGCCATTGCATGATCCGGCCCTGGCCAGCAAATGGATGCAACTGGGCGACATTAAAAGACCTTTTGGCAATTATTATACACTATATTACCAAAAGTTTTGGGCCCCTCCCGCTCCAAATAATTGGATTCAGGTGTTCAGTGACATTTCCTTGCTACTAAATATTCCGCGGTCACCTGTTACTGGTATTATAGCAAAGTGGAAGGAGGAGGAACGTGACTGGCCTCAACCCCATAGAACACCTTTGGGATGAATTAGAGCGGAGACTGCAAGCCCGGCCTTCTCCCCCAACATCAGTACCTGACCTCACAAATGGTCCAACATTCCCATAGACACACTCCTAAACCTTGTGGACGCTTCCCAGAAGAGGCGGAGCTGTTATAGCGGCAAAGGGCGGAGCCAACCCAATACTAAACCCTACGGACTAAGACTGGGATGCCATTCAATTTCATGTGTGTGTAAAGGCATCCCAATACTTTTGGTAATATAGTGTATATGATGAGATCTGCTGTAGAGACTTATAATAATGGTGCTCCAGGACCCTGTGTATATCCCCTATGGTCTCCCCTTGGGTAGGAGAGAGCCCATGGTTCAAACCATTGAAACAAAAGAAAAGAGTTCCAAAATCATGAGACTCCAACATGCTTTGAGTTGTTCATAAGTCGATCGTATAAAGCAGCCAATGTGTTTGCAAATAGTCCCCCTTCATCAGGCCTTGAATATCGGAATGAGGACTTGAATGGATTTAAAACAAATTGCACTTATCCTTTTTGTCCCCCACACCTGACCTAAACCATTCCACCCTGCCCCCTCTGCAGATTCATACTTACCAAGATCCAACGGACACAATCTGTTTTTTGTTTACATCCTGCACTGCACTTCTCCCTCTGCTGGCCACAATTGCACATTACAGCCCCATAGACTTCCACGGTGCGGCTGGGACACGCACTTGCGGCGCTGGATGTCAACAAACAGTGGAGCAGTGGTCCTCAGATACCAGTAAGTATAGATCTGTGGAGGGCGAGGGTGGGATCATTTGGACCAGCAAAAATAATAGATGTGCTTATTCTTTAAGAGCAACCGTACCAAAACCAAATTTGGAAAAAAATTTGATTTGAACTCTTTCTTATGGATTGCAGCAATACAGTCAGCGGCAGTTGCCAAATCTTGGACGCTCACATCTTCTGACTTTCTTTTCTACTGTTTCTTTGGTTTGAGTCACTTCTAGGTACCCATCGGGGGGTGGATGTTGTATGCGAATCGCCTCTGGATTTGAAAAGTTTCCCTTTGCTGGAGAGCATTAAGGCCGTGACACACTGCACGCGAAGCCGTGCAGAGCGAAGCAAAGCTATCCGCCACGGAGCTTTGCGTGCAGTGTGTGAGCTGAGTGCAGTCAGATGATTGACTGCACCTTCAGCCAATCGGCTCGTGCTTAACAACCGGCCAGATGTCGCATCCCGTCGCGCCGGTTTATACGCGCGAGCCCATTTGGCTGAAGTTGAAATTGTTCATCTCGGCACGCTCAGCTCCGCGAGCTCTCGCCAGCTGAGGTGCCCAGAAGAAAATTACATGACACACTGCTCGCAAAGGCAGCGCGCCACCGCTCCGCGCTGCTTCGCCTGCAGTGTGTCACGGCCTTTACGTTCTGAAGACTCAGCAGGAGAGAGGAGAGGACCCGGGGGCATACCTTATCCCGCCGGGTGACTGTCCCCTCCTCTCTCTGCCGGCGTCCATCACCAAGATGGCCGCCGGCAGGTATCAGAATACTGCCGCGCGTGCGCGATGACGTCTCGGTGGGGTGACACTCGGTTACCGCTCCGGGTGTCACCCAGCCTCGGGACGCCCCTGCAGGTAAACATCCGCAATAAACACGGAAACCTTTTGCAATATATACAGATCACCTGGAGGGGAAACAGCATGGCAGCTGAACCCAAAAAATATTATATATGAATGCATTGATGCGGTTTTTCAGTATCGAGTATCAATATTTTTTTTTTTTGGTACTCGCCGTTACCAAATATCGATTCTGGAAGTCCCATTAAGGAAGCCAGGCGGCACGTAATGACTCACCGCACGGCTTCCTGATTAGCTGGGAAAGCCGTCTCCACGCTCCTTCATCACCAGGTGACGAGGAAGCGTGGAGCCGGATTTCTGGCCAATCAGGAAGCCGGGGGGTGGGTAATGACTCGCCACCCGGCTTCTTGATTGGCCAGCTTCCTGAACAATCAGGAAGCTGGGCGGTGAGTCATTACACGTCGCCCGGCTTCCTGATTGGCCGGGAAACCGGCTCCATGCTCCCTTGTCCCGTCCAATCAAGAAGCTAGGTAACATGTAATGACTCGATGCCTGGCTTCCTGATACCAGAAATTGCGGAATCGGGATAGGTATCGGAAGCATTTGGGCAAGAACTAGATACTAGAATTGGTATCAATGCATCCCTAATATAATACGAAAGTAACACCAACCAATGCACTTGTGTACTCAAAACAAAAAGTGATCTTGATTGCAACTAGTGGTAGTACTGGGAAAGGAAGGGACAGAACTAAAAGCTGATCAGGTAACAGCATGTTCTTTCAAGCAGCATACGGACAGGAGGAAAGTGCAGAGTGATGACCGTCGCTGTCCAACCAGCAGTCTGCAGGTGGATTGGTGACCAAGCTGTACTGCTTAGGTTCAGTACTTCGTTGGGCCAAGAGAATTTGAAAGGTGATGCGAGGAATCTGACACGGCACTGTGGCCCTTCTGTTGTCTTGTACCAGTCTTGCCCCTCCCCCGTTCTGCCCTAACATTGACTAGTCGCTGACGGCCACAATTCGCACGTTCAGACCCAGATTTTCGGCTGACAGTCCGGTCTTTAAACACTTTAACAATGAGCTGCTCTTGAACATGTACCGAATTCTGCTGTTTTGCTGATACTCGCTCCATGGCTCCGAGCGCCAACAATCATCCCGCGTTCAAAGGCTGTTACATCGCGTTGTTTCCCCGTATCTTCAGAAACAAATCACTTCTACTGTCGTGGTAACCGACCTGCTTCCCTATTTATAATGGTCTGGCCCTCTAGCAACTTCAGCGCCAAATTATAGCTAATTTGCCTACAAACGTCAGGTGGTCATAATAAACCGGCCACTCAGTGTATCCAATAATCCGGCCACTCAGTGTATCCAATAATCCGGCCACTCAGTGTATCCAATAATCCGGCCACTCAGTGTATCCAATAATCCGGCCACTCAGTGTATCCAATAATCCGGCCACTCAGTGTATCCAATAATCCGGCCACTCAGTGTATCCAATAATCCGGCCACTCAGTGTGCATTGTATCAATTGCTGCATGCCAGGGGCACAGCTTTAACCCTTTGGCTGCCAGAGCCACTTTTGTGTTATAATACACATTTTAGGCCTGGAAATAAACCCCCCCCCATACAAAAGTGTTGCATGATATTAGGGCAACTCATTGTATTTTTGACGAAAAAATTTTACTTTGATAAAGTAAATTTTAGTGAACAGAAACACAATGTAATACCCATTTCTTGTAAAAATATAAATGAGGAGGTTGTGCCGAGTAAAATAGATACCCAACATGCCAAGCTTAGAAACTGCGAGAGCCTAGGAAATGGCAAATAAATTGCCAAATTGTCCATAGGCAAGGCTTTAAAAGCCTGTACAGGTCCTCAGTTTAGAGTGAATTTTGAATATTGTCCTAAAATTATTGCTCTCCCTCTGGTGATACTTGACATGTGCAGTGCAATCGTGGTTTTCGTAGGTAGGTGCACCCAACGCATGTTTGCATTAGTGCACGCACGTTCACAGGGGCAGGGAAACGTGGGTTTGTTTTTTTGTACATTTTAATTTAACTTTTTTTTTTACCTAAAAAGGAGAACTATGAGGCGAGTGATTTGTACTCAGCCCCATAGTTAGAGTTGACCTGTGACAATGAAACTGTCACACGTCGGCTCTATAGATCGGGATGTGAGCAAACACTTTCTGATCATCTCCCTGCAGAGAGCGGTGACTGTCAGTCACCACTCTCTGCAGGGATTCCCCCCTCCCCGATCCAATCCTCCAGCGCTGACTGGAGGAACGGACAGGGGAGGGGGGCGGGCACAGTTGGCTCTGCCTCTAGATAGGCAGAGCCAGCTGTCACTCACGAATCTGGGTGGATCTTGACAGTATTGTCGGGATCCGTCCCGGTTGCGGCACTCTCAGTATATAGTGAGCAATAGCTCGCTATATACTGAGCTTTGGGTCACGGGAGGACGCTAGTATATGACCTCCCGTGACCCTTAAGAGAACTATGGGATAAAAAGGTTACCCCATAGTTTTCCTTTAACTCCATTGCTATCAAAAGCGCCCTATGTGATAGCACGCTGGAGGCGACAGCTTTTCTTTAAGGTGACAGCAGCAGTCTATTAGACCCCTAATTTCACCTTTCCACTTTAAAGAAGCTTCTCAAGCACAGATCATGCTTGATCAGCTTCTTCCTTAGCTTCAGTAGCCAGGGAATGACAATTGAGAACTGGAAGTGATGCAACTGATTGCATCACTTCCGGCTTCATTCAACAGGGAGGATATCAGTGAACGGATGTTCGCTGGTCTCGCTCCCTGCTACCTGCTGACACCCAAAAAGCCAGTCCCGGGCTGACAGGAGGGGCAGCGGAGCCCAGAAAGCAAGGCAGGGGTGTTGGGTGGGGTGTATCCTTTTGCCGGATCTGCTGGCAGCTCAGCCCTCAGTATCGCTTCCAGTGTAAAGCCGACAGTTGGTTTTACAGCTATAGCCCAAGTGGAGTATACATATAATCTAATGGGAAGGGGTTTTTGTTGAAATGAATGTTCCAGGGATTGGGATTATTTAAACAAGCCTTGTTATTGTCCTAGTCACAGCCTACTCACACTTTCATACGTGATTGAAGTAAGCAGGTCATAATGCTCCTTCCTAAACACCAGAAGCCGCGCACGTCCCGTGATTGGCGTTTCCTCCAGGGAAGTGGCATAGAAGAGAGTGACGAGGAATCCCAATGCCAAGGCACTAAGAGACACTTTCCACCGATTCCGCCTTAGGTTCTCTTTAAATAGCTGGCGTTTGTTCGCTGGGAGTGCTCTCCACCACTTCCGTACGCTCCTGAAAAAAAAAAGAAAAAAAGTGTATGAGCATATATATTTAATTTATTACATTAACATATACTCACACTTCAAGCCAAGTTTCAGCTGCAAGAGTTTTTTTTTTAAATGACCCCCAATGCTGCGATATAACAGAAAAGGAATAAGGAGTCAGAAGTTGATGGTTTTACTAACCGTACTGAAGAATGTGTATGACCAAAAAAATCGTGATACCAATGAAGACTAATGTATGTATCTCTCCATGTATTCGTAGCAATAAATGAGAGCCGGTGCAACAGCGCCACCTAGTGTCAATGCAATGAACCCTCACTTTTTAGTGGAATCTATATTCTTTGAGAAGTTTATTAACTTAAAGGAGAACTATGAGGCGAGTGCTTTTCACTCACCTCATAGTTCTAGCCAACCTGTGACAATGAAACTGTCACAGGTCGGCTCAGTCGATCGGGGAGTGAACACATACCGGTGTTCGCTCACCTCTCGATCCTGTCACGGCAGAGGGAGGGGGCGGGTACAGCTGGCTCTGCCTCTAGATAGGCAGAGCCAGCTGTCGGTCACGCAGCTGGGCGGATCCCGGCACAATTGTCGGATCCGCTTCAGCTGTGGCGTCTCAGTATATAGGAGCTACAGCTCGCGGTGTACTGAGCCTAGGGTGACGGGAGGACGCTACTTTGTGTCCTCCCATTACCCTAAGGAGAACTATGGGGGGGAAAGCCTTAACCCCATAGTTCTCCTTTAACTTAATATTATTATACGGTATTTATATAGCGCCAACAGTTTGTGCAGCGCCCTACTACATATGGAGAGCAAGTACAATTACAATACAATACCAGACAAAAGGATTAGAAGCACCCTGCTCGTGAGAGCTTACACTCAACAAGGAGGGGCAAGTGATACAGAAGGTAAACTCATAGGAGTTGTAAAGTCCCAGCATATCCTCTCCTGTTATAAAATCAGCATTGTAATAGAAATACATAGTAGAGTTGTGTCTGACAATGTGATCAAAGCTTTCATGAAGAAATCCCTTTTATGCCCATCACTTCCAACAACTTCCTGGATTCCCAGTGTGCTTTGTGTCGCTTTCCCTGCTGCTTGATGTGATGCAATCTCCGTTTCTCAACACTACATATCCCATCATGCATTGCTTCCAGCAAGCAATGATGATGTTACATTGTTCAGACGTTGGAGTTCAGAAGGCAGGCTCTGTGATAGTAAATGAATAAATGGTCCCCAACAGCTGGAAAATCATATTGTTTCTACATAAAGTCTAAAAGTAGCTTTCCCGTATCACTAGAGAGATCCCCAGCAAGAGGAAGGAGGTCCTGATCCCTCTATATAGAGGAAGGAGGTCCTGATTCCTCTATACAGATATTTATTATCACTAGAGGGATCCCCAGCAGGAGGAAGGAGGTCCTGATTCCTCTATATAGATCTCTATTATCACTAGAGGGATCCCCAGCAGGAGGAAGGAGGTCCTGATCCCTCTATATAGATCTTTAGTTATCCCTAGAGGGATTTCCGGCAGAAGGTCTTGATTCCTCCTATATAGATCTTTTATTATCACTAGAGGGATCACCAGCAGGAGGAAGGAGGTCCTGATTCCTATATAGATCTTTATTATCACTAGAGGGATTTCCAGCAGGAGGAAGGAGGTCCTGATTCCTATATAGATCTTTATTATCACTAGAGGGATCCCCAGCAGGACCTCCCCAGCAGGAGGAAGGAGGTCCTGATCCCTCTATATAGATCTTTATTATCACTAGAGGGGTCCCCAGCAGGAGGAAGGAGGTCCTGATCCCTCTATATAGATCTTTAGTTATCACTAGAGGGATCCCCAGCAGGAGGAAGGAGGTCCTGATTCCTCTATATAGATCTTTCATCTTTAGTTATCATTAGAGGTTCCTGAAAAATGGCATTGCACTTCCTGGTGTATGAGGGTACCTAGGCACTTCTGTACCTACAGTCTCATAGCTGTGTATCTGCAGTGCGAGATCATCTAAGGAAATGAAGCCTCTGACTTCTAGGCTCAGATTTGGAGTGAGGTTTGATGATGTCACTACTGTGCTATACACTGTTCTCCTTGCTGGAGGCTCTGACATGAGGAAGTAAAACCTGTCTCCACACACACAGCGGAAGAAGGCATGGTAAGGGGGAAGGAAAGATCAGCTGCAGGAAGCCCACAGGCAGTACTGGTGACTAGTCTTTTGTCCTCTGCTTCCCTCCAACTAACACAATCACCCCCCTGCATTTATTAATATAATTTCCAAGGGTCTTTTTTCTGATCATATTACAAATAGGGTCCTCCTTCTCCTCCTGTGGAGAGCAGTGCTTTCAGCTGCACACATCACTGGGTCTCTGAGCTTCTTTATACAATGCAGGCAGATCATGACTGGTGGGAGGGGACGGCAGGGGGCTGTACATAGCTTCCTGAAAACATTGCAGCACCCTGCCTCAGTACTCCTCACCAGAGCGCTCAGTCCCCATGCAATCAGCGGGCTGGCTCTTGGGAGGAGTTATACAAATATCAAAATACCTCGATGGGTGGGTGTCAGTCTGGAGCTCAGCTTTGTAACGCACGAGACACAACATTAATAAGACGGCATGCAACATTCTAACCTGCCCAGGATGATGGCAAACAGTTTCTGGATGGGTTTGATAAAGAGCCACACATGTGGCGGGAACAGGACGTTCAAGCGTGCAGAGGTATGGATGTTGTTGGCACAGAGGACGAGGTTCTGGGGCACGGAGAAGGTCTGCGGCAGTCTGAAGATGAAGCCAGAGCACCATACATGATTACTCAACAACGAGCCGTACCGCCCATCGGCTTTCCTGATGCCAGAGTGAAATGTGGAGGTCAGGGGTGACGTCTGAGGTCTGCGGGTGATCAGAGTCTGATGACATTCTGCCGTTGAGATCTTACTGTGTGTACAGAGAACATTTGTGCTCAAGGAGCTTCTATGGGGGATTGTTCTAGACGCGGCCAGTCGGTGCAGCAAAAAAATCTTCTGGTGCCGCGTCCAGAGACGGCGAGCAAATTCCATCGTGACTTCTTTATGGTTCCTGGAAAAGAGTAACAGAGATGAATGCAGCGGGGGAAACATGTTCCTATGCGTTCTGATACAATCTGAAGAGATTACCATTCCTTGCAGAGTGCTAATGAGGGAATCAAAGTGACAGTGTATAGTAGAGATGCACCAAAATGACATTTGTAGACCAAAAACAACATTTCAAAATTTGTCAGGCCGAAACAAAAATGACTTTTTCCCAAATGAAAAAAAAAACATTTTAAAAAAACCAATTTTTCCCCTTATTTAATTTTTATAGGTTTATTTATATTTTTGACATTATAGCTGGGGGCTTTGGTGAAATAACGGGTTTTAACAGACCCCTGATATTTCCCTTTTCAAATAGAAAAAGAGATTGAGAACACAGAGACCATAGATTCTCTTTTAATGCAGCATCAGCACTCAATGAAAAGGAAGCTCTCAGTACGCAGGTTTCCTGTTCATTCACAATCTGGAAATAGTAAATATTTACTATCAGCCCAGTCATGAATGGACAGGAAGCCTCTGTACTAAGCTGCTTCCTGTTCATTCGTAAAGTGGGCAGATAATATTTACTATGTCCCCATTCATAAAAGGAACAGGAAGTGATGTAGAGCACTTCCTGTTCATTCATAACTGGGGACATAGTGATCACTATCTACTCAGTTATTTACAAACACCGAGCAATCAGCACTGATCACTCAGTGTTTGTGCTCCGCTCTCCCTCCTGACTGTTCTGCCTCCTCCCACCTGTAACCTGAATCGAGCTCTTCTCTCTGCACTGCCCCGTTCGTCCTTCTGACAGCTTCTCTCCTCCCTGCTGGGCATTGGCAAATGGATCAGCACTGTGTCCCCTCCGATCCCCACTGCCTCTGCTGACACAGGCAGGGGAGAGTAGCAGGGATTGGAGGGGGGCACAGACCAAAGCTTGCATCCGGCACCCAGCATAAGAGTAGAGAAGCTAGAGATGCACAGCATTTTCGGACTATCAGCGTTTTGCCCATAGTACCATTTTTGGCGACTGAAATTTCGATGCATCCCCAGTGTATAGTATATAAACGGACAATTCTGGGTATTATGAGCAGTGGGGGGACATTAGAGTGTAAGCTCCTCTGGTGCAGAGACTGATGTGACTGGCTCAGCGTTCTCTGTACAACACTGCGGTATATATCAGAGCTATATAAATGTATCAAAATAATAGTGCGTGGTGAGTAGTGATGGGCTCGGGCGTGTTCGCAGCTCCACGTGCCGAGCCCGCCAGGAAGCTGACAGCGCCAATCACAGGCACTGAGACATTTCCTGATTTCTCTGCAGCTGCGGACCAGCAAAATGCCTCAGTACTTGTGATTGGCGCTGCACGCTGTCAGCTTCCTGGCGGGCTCGGCACGTGGAGCTGCGAACACGCCCGAGCCCATCACTAGTGGTGAGGACGTTCTCTGGTATAATATGTTACAGCCTAAGTCCAGCCATCTCTATATATATTGTTTACATGTTGTCATGCACGAACGCACTGACCGCTCTGCGACACACACTGAAATGGGTCAAGCTGCATTTTATCACAGGACACCATGTGTTGCACCTTGCTGCTCTGCATCTTGGAGGTGCATTGTGGTGCATTTACTGTGAATGGCATGGCAGCGCACCCACGTAACCCGGATCCTTAGTGTCAGGAGTCAGAGGTCACCTGACTGCCCCAACTTGCTTTACCTCCTGCAGAGGGCAACGCAAACAATAAGGCCCTGTTACTGTTATGCCGGCTTTGGAACTGAGACAGGGAATTAAAAACGGGAACGCGATAACAGCTCCATGAGCATGCCTGCACCCTTATAATCACTTACTGGTGACAGGTGTCAACCATTGACATGCCCCCCACATGCAGTGTTGTCACACAATGTCCCTCAATACTTACCACAAGCACGGAGGGCAGCAGGGGGTCCTAACTGCCCCAGCTGAGCATCTGGACCAACGTTCAGCACTCCACGTCCCATCAGGAACTAAAGCCCACAACGCCCCCGGTGTGTGTTTTGATACCGTAGGGCGGCGCCATCTTGATACACTCTGCCATCATCCCAAAACAGCCATAACTAAAAAAAATGAATACAGCTATTGCAATTCCGACTGCAACACGCTCTACGAAAGCGCAAAAGCTCGCTTTATTGCTAAAATTAGTTTGCCGTTTAGGACCGGGTTGGGTGTACCAAGATGTCGCATTGCAGACACCGCTGCGGAGTGCGGGGGTGTACCAAGAAGGCCGCCGCCGCAAGCGGACAGTGGGTGTACTAAGATGGCTAAACGAGAGTTTTGATTGGCTGGGGGCTGCTGGGATGAAATTCGGTGGCGTGTGAGGCCCGGGGATCTGCGTTCCGGTGTCCATCAGTTCCCCCTCGGGGCCCCCACTGCCGATCAAGGAACCCCCTCTACCAATACTACAAGGCAACATGGCGGAGGAGGCAGATGTGGACATCGAGGGGGATGTGGCAGACTGCAGCAAGGGGTGAGCATGAACCATGTTTATATTATTATTATACTACATTTCCTGTAATGAGGGGAACCTGAACCGTAAACACACATCAAACCTGTCATGGACCTGTCATCAGGGAGCTACACATAAAATGTCATACTTCCTATTGGTGATATCATAATGATCACCAGTTGCCCTCCTTTCAGTCTGTGTGGCATAGTGCTGCATTGCCAAGTGCTGCCACCTTGTCCAGGAGTTGCACCCCTGCTTCTACGCCTGGCGCAGCTCCGCCTCCCTGTGTGATCATGTCTGTGTCAGTCAGGCAGGAAATGCGAGTGGTGTGCCCTTTTAAGGGCCCATTCGCTAAGTGTATAACTAGTGCATAATGCATAAAACGTGAATGGTTAAACCCATAAGTGCCACCACTGCTTTTTGGCTTTTTAAAATAACAGAGGTTGGTTGGAAGGTTTAGGAAATTTAGTTAACTGATTGTTGAAGTGTGATCATTATACCCTAAACATTATTTTTCAAGGTTTCGATACAATAGGTAAAGATTTAACGCTCCTGTCAGTTTATTCTGTCCAGTTGGGGAGATTTCTCTCCACTTCCTGTCTGGGAGAGGCAACAGGAAGTGAGAGGAGATCTCTACAAAGTGAGGGGAACACCCTTTCTTTGCTGTCACTATACGAGATGTCCATCACCTCCTGTTCTGGTGAACATGATTGGTATTTCCATCACTTTTACAGCCTGTGGCTGTGAGATTCTTGCAATGCCTCATGGGACTTGTAGTGCCAGCCCAGCTGGAGAATTTGCCCACCCCTGGCGTAGACCCTTGGATCATAGCGCTTCGCGGAGGCCAACCTGGGACTGAGCATCGGTGCCAGGATGGAGGTGGGCCTCTGTCCCTGGCATGCTCGGCTGTCAGTGTGATCCGTTGTCTTCAGTGCTTTCGGGTCAGCATTCTGCAAAGCTGCAATTTATAATGAATCCAGCGGGTTGGGGTAATATTTTTTTTTTTAAGGTGAGAAACAAAGATATTTACAAATATAGTTTTTGTCTTCTCTTTCCAGGACCTACGAGGAGCCGAACTCCGGATTTGTTCCCGATCACTATCTGGATTCCATGTGGAAGGGCGATGATGTCCTCACTGTGAGTCCGTTATAAGTACATTGGGATTGATTTACTAAAGTGACAATAAACTCAGGAATTAAATCTTAAAAATACATTCAAGTCGCTGAACTCTGAACAACAATGTATCCTATTTGTGTATCACTCGGCTGTAGATCCTCCAATCATCTCTGAGATGGTGCTGACACTGTCCTTCCTTCTGGAGGGTGACTACGTCTGTTCCCCATGGTCCCTGTGTGTGTTATGAAGTAGTCACCGCTCCAAGT